GCACACGGGCGTGCACTAGCTGCCCGCACACGTCCACACGCACACGGGCGTGCACCAGCTGCCCGCACATGTCCACATGCACATGGGCGTGCACAGCACAGATCCAAGTAGCACTGACCATCTGCACCTGGTTTCTGGCATCTCCACATGGATGCTTGGGGCTCCCAGGAGAGCTGGTGATTCTGGGGCTGGGCAGGGTCCATAAGCAGAAGCACCTCCAGCTGGATGGGAAGGAAATATCCCAAGAAGGAGAAGGATGGTGCCTTGTCAAAGGGGTAGGCAGAGAGCTAAACAGGCTCCTGCTGGCTGCTTGGGACATCCCAGCATCAAAGAACTGATCACAATAAGGAAGCCACCACTCACACAGCAAGAGCCCAAGATGTGTGCCTCGGTCTGTATCCATCACATCATGGTGTGTCCTCTGAGCACTGTCAAGGTGAGTCTATACACCTGACCAGGGATACACACGCAGCCGCCTGCTCTTAAAATGCCCCAGAAGAAGGGAGGACTCAGATGTAAGGAGGTAGTTCCTTGAGTACGGTGCCCGGATGCAGGGCTCTCAGTGCACAGAAGCTCTGGGCTTGGTGACGAGACCCCAGTCAGATCTGCTCTGTGCCTGTCTTAATCTCTGATTTGGGTAAATATACAAAAAGGTTTTAAAAGAAAAAGCATTGATTTTAGGAAATATACCCAGCAGAGAACGTTATATCTGCTACTTATTCCAAACAGTTTAGGAAAGTTTGTGTGAGAGGCGGGGCTGAGGCAGGATTTAGAGACCGGCCTGGGTAAGACTGCAAAAATTAAAAGTAACATGCCTGTGGTCCTAGATACTCAGGAAGCTGACCTGGGAAGATCACTTTACCATCCAAGACTTGGAGGCTTCTGTGACCAAAGCACTGCATTCATTCCAGCTTGGGTGACAGAATTAATAACCCTACCTCTTAAAAAAGAAAAGAAAAAGAAAAATATGTGTAAGACAAAAACACATAGAGAGGTGGGAGGAGGCGGGGGGAAACTGAGGCAGAGGGTGCATGGAGATCACTTGTGCTCTTCTTGAAATTTTTCTGGAGTTACATCAAAATTGGATTAAAAGAAAAAATACAAATATATTCAAATAAAGAATTTCTAAAAATCTCCCCCATAAATTCTGTCTTTCCAAGACGAAATCCCAACCGAGAGCTTTTCACTCCATTTCATATTTTGCACAGACTCTGGCTCAGAGCCCCTTTATGGACACAACAACCAACCCCAACCGTTTACACAGATCAGCAGTTACCGCCAAGTGCTCCCAGAGTAAACGGGGTAAGGAGGTGGGGGGTGGGAAGTGTTCATTTCTAGACAGACACAGACCACCAAGCTCTGACCAGACAGCAGGAGGGAGGGGGACAGGAAGGTTTCAGATTCTCCCTCAGGCGGAGCCAACACCCTGCTGATGACCTTGGACAAAGCCGCTGGCTCCTAGGGCTCAAGTTTCTCTTTGCACCACTTAGAGGCTCAGCCCACAGGCCCAGCATCCCACACCAGGAGCGCTGGCTCATAGCTCAGCTGCCGGCCTGCATCCTCTCTGGCCACACAGTCTGGTCAGCCGGGTTCTAAACAGCATGAAACTATGGCTTGTAAGGGCCTTTTGCCTGCAGGAGCAGAGACAAATGTGCACATGGCAGCCATGTTCCCCTGACCTAAGAACAACTGTCTTCCCATGGTCATGAACACTCCTGGGCAGCAAGGGGAGGGCCACCTGTGCTCATGGCACATCTCGCTTCGTGTGAAACTCAAGGGAAGGTGGCAACATCCACCAGGCCCCGAGGACACACTCCTGCCTGCAGATGGAGACCTGGAAACACAGTGGCCCCGACAGGACTCCAGAGAAACAGCAAAGGAGCTCCCCACGTGCCACACGAGAGGTGCAAAACAAAGCTAGAGACAATTTGGTCGAATATTTATCAATTCACTTTACAGGATGACCATGAAGTCTGAGAAACTTGCAAAAGAAGGACCAGGCTGCACGTCCGGCACTGTGAAGGGGCACAGAAGCCAGGCTGGGCGGCAGAGTCGAGAGCTCAAGGCGCTCTGCACCTTCCACTTTGATTTTGCTACTTTTAAAGTAACATGATGAGCACAGAGAATGGAGAAATGCATAAAAAGGGACAACAAAACACCCGTCAGAATGTTGGCAAATCCCTGTCACCAAAAAGTCTTAAATCAGGGACGGCGCCTG